ATATATATATATATATAACTTTTTTATATATAATAAAATATTTTTCCTCTTCCTTGTTTTCTTTTGTAAAACTACCGAAGATTGATTTCCGCGAATAGCCCTCATAATACATTTTAAAGAAATGTTACTCACTCTAGCTTTATTATCAGATAACAATTTTATTGCTTCTGATAGCTTGTAAAATTCTGCTACTGCTGCCCGATTATGGGGATTTTTATCTGGATGGCAAGTTAATGATTTTTTTCGATATGCCTTTTTAATCTGAAAATGAGAATAAATAATTACATATAATTTAATATATAATACACTATTGTGATAAGTATAAAAAAACTACTAGTATAAATATATAGAAACTATTAATAATTTGATATATTATTTACAAGAGTACAATGTATTTTACTCCGTTACAAAATATATATAAATATTTCTAAATAAAGCAAATTACCTCTGCAAATGTAGCATGAGGCTCTACACCAAGCAACTCGTACAGATCCATCGTAGAAATCTTTTTTCTTTTCTTTCTGGCCCACACTGACGTGAAAAATCTCCTTGCTTTTTCTTCTTTTATGGGTTTTGATGATTTTGATTTTTGATATTGACTTACACAATTTCACGTTAGCGTAATCAGAATTCGACTATGCTACAATATATACAGTAGCGCAACCATAGACATAGTATATCTAGACCGAGCGTTTGCCTTTATTTAAGGAGTGGGAGTAAAGATGCACGTAGAAAAGAACATACTCTGTTTCGTGCCTCTTGCGTTCTCTCTAGCTCGCACGTAGCATAGCGTACTTTTTCGCTATGCTACATGCGAGTGAGAGAGAACGCAAGAAGCACGGAACAGAGTATGTACCTTGGCCCCCACTCCTCAACACTCGATCTAGATATACTATGTCTATGGTCTGGACCAATGAGCATGCTATGTAAATCAATATGGCGATTTTATTTTGATGCTCATTGGTCCAGACGATCTTATGCTATGCATATGCAGCTATGCCAATTTGTGTTTGTGTGTGATAAGGCCCATTTACACGGACAGTTTTTCTCACAGTTTTGGAGTGTACACTTCAGGTGCGCGCGCCAAAACTGTACATGTAAAATTCCCGACGTAACAAAGGCCAATCGCGCGTTCCCGGCGCGCGAGTCTAGACTGCAGTCTAGACTTATGCGTTTGTTTCGACACATTATTTCGACGTGACAGATCGGCGCGACAGTTCATACATAATG